GTAGCTAGGTTGGTAGATCTTCTTATTGCAAGACTTGTTAGCCAATTCTACTAATTCTTCAGTTCACTTTGGATCTGTTTCATAACACTATTAAAGATCTTTACTGTTTCTTTGCTTAGGTTTTGCCAAGCTAGTTTTGAATCTTCAAGTTCTTCTGTTAGTTTTATATAATTTCAGAAATCTTATTGTAGATTTGGCTATCTAAACTAGTTTGCATTCCTTTATATAATACAAACACTTCTAGAATCTTTTAGTGCATAAGGTGCATTGGTGTGACTAGAGTTATAGATAATAAAACCTAATTTATCATTAAAGATTTATTACTATAACACAAGTATTTTGTCTAAACTGTTGCTAAAGAATTTAAACTCAGTACTATAGTCAAGCTAGCTTGGAAGAGCAACAACTCTACAACTACTCTAAGTTACTATACCTTCAAACTGCATTTATTAAAGTAATTATTTATATATATATATATTGATATTTATAATTAATTTAATTTAATGCCTACCCACTAGGCTTGCAAATTATAAATTTAATATCTGGGCCACTATGTGGGCCCAGTATAGTATCTCTACTAACTTTATTCTAACTATTCAAATCTAAGTAAGTCTTGACTACTCTAGTAGGTTTAGATTACAGATAAATAATTGAACTAAGCTCTTATTCTTGCATGTAGTTTATATTTATTCATTTGTATATAGATTAAGTTTTTATTTAGTTTTTATATATCTACTTATATAAATTACTTAATAAAGATATGAGCAAGGCCTTACCTTTTAAATTAAAAAAATAATAATTTAATTTAAATTAATAATATATAATTTTTTAATAGCAAACTATAAAAGCTATTGCCAAAGATTTGATTAATATAATATTTATTTAATAAAAGTAGAATTAAAGCAGGTAAAAGCTGATTACCTTGAAGATAATAAACTGGAATTCTGAATAGAAATAAAAAAACAAAATTGAAATATCTACTTTAAAGACAATCTTGAAGCTTCTATAATTTTAATTCTATTTTATAGATTTTTTAAACAATTTGAATTATTTTAATATTTTTGAATTATTTAGAATTTGTTAAAATATTTTGTAAATTTATTTATATTATATTAAATATTTGTAATTTCAAAGTTGGTTTGTATTTTTTATTCATTTTTTTTGTATTTTAGTTTTTTTTTATTTTTGCTATTTTTTTGCATAAGCCAAAGTAATTCAAAATATTTTCAAATATTGTTTTTTTTTATTGTATAATTATTATTTTATTAATTGGGTACTTTATTTTACTTGCATTGATTCTGATTACAAAAGGCTCTTAAAACAACAATGTTCTATAAGAAGCACTTTAGCTTTAAAAATAAGTTAGAGAATAATATAAATATTTAAAAATATATGTTTAACTTTGTAAATACTTATATTTAATTTTTTTTTCATGTATTTATATATATTTATTATTGAATTTTATTTAGAATTATGAGTATAAAGGACAAATATTATATTAATTACAAAAATTTCTCAATTACCTGTAATAGGTTTAAATTGAAATCAATATTAGATATATGTATTTATGTATTTATATATACTATACGTAAATACAATACAATAATTTTAAATATGATAAAAAATTTTAATAACTTTCTATATTAGAAATTTTTTGTAATGCTAATATTAATAAGTATAAAATGTGAATATTTGTAAACAACATAGTATGTAGGTATTGTGTGAAGTAGTTTTATTTTGTCAGAAAAAATTTTTTTACTAGGGCTTAAATTATCATTTTATAATATAGTTTTTTAAAAGAATTTTTTTTTATAAGAAAAGTTTGGGTTTGTGAGTTAATATTAAATTTAAATGAAAAGATTAACTTTGTTTGGCTTTATATGGGGAGACTCAGTAGAAACATAACGAATTTTTCTAAGTAAAAGTTTTTTAAACTTTAAGCTAAAATATCCCAACAACTATCAACCCAAATTTAATAAATTTTTTTTTAGACGTTATATATATATATTATAAAAATTCTTCAAATATAAATTTATTATTTTTTAAAAATCTACATTTAGGAGTTAACAAAATTTTGTAAATTTCTATGCAAAACAGAACAAAAAATAATTGGTAAAACCATTATTATTAAGAATTATTACCATTAACTGAATAATCAAATTTATAATTTACTACAGTATTATCCCTTTTGGCATCAATTTCGTACCAAAGGGCATCTAATTTCGTACAAACTACATTTAAATTGTACAAAATAACAATTAAATTTGTACAAAATAACAATTAAAATAAGTTTGATTAAGCAGTGATTTAGTAATCCAATTTAGATAATTTTTATATATTCGAATCCTCTCGATGAGACAATTCGAGTGATACAAAAATCATCTAAATTGGATCAATAAATCACGAGATAATACAGTTTATCAAAATTGTTTTAATTGTCATTTTGTACAGACTTAATGTTATTTTAAATGTCATTTTGTACGAAATAGAATGTCACTTTATACGAAATTGAATGTCAGTTTGTATGAAATTAAATGTCCTTTTGTACAAAATTGATGTCAAAAGGGATAAAATAAATATAGCTAATAAAAAGTTATTTAGTAAGCACTATCATATTGAGCTTTGGATAAAAAAAATTTATTTGCAAAATTTATTAAACTTTATTTTACAAATTTTTATCTTTTATTAGTTTTGTTATTCGTGTTTCGACTTTTATCAATAACTATGTAATTATATAATCATTTTTGGTTATCGAATAAATTGACTATTTATAAATGATAATAGATCTGGCTATAACTTAATAGTGTAAGATACATCCCACACTCCATGTCATTTATGACTTTTACGCATTATATAATCATGTCACATCATGAGTAAAAACAATAATAGTTTTTTTTTAGTATAGGCTAGAAAAAAATGAGTTAGATGTGTCGGGAACAATGTGTTTTTGCGTTAGGAGAAACATTATTATAAATATAATATAGATTTTGAATTTACATTGATATTTTTTTTATACCTTGAAAATAATCTACTACGTAGAATTGCAACATTCAGAAAAGTATCAAGTTTTCAGAAAGATAACCCAATTTTCTATCAATATACAGTACCTAATTTTCTATATTATAATATATATTCATGAACAAAAACGAACACGTGTACATACCTGGTAATTCACTATATATTTTGATACAGTCTCATCATTAACTCTAGTAAGTCATTATTTGATACAATTTCATCAGAGACTCCTTGTTATACGTTATACTGTAATAAAAAAAAAAAACAAAACACTGACATTATTGTGATAATAAAAAAAATTCCAAATAACAGTAAGTTGATGTCATTAGTCGACAGAAAATTTATGCCGATCTGTGGTAGTCTACTAAAGATTGAAAATTGATAAATTTATAGTTGTGTGACAAAAAAAACCGCGCTATCTATTATCTATTTATCTACTGTTAATCTGTTTATTTTTTAAGCATTAAAGTTTTCAGAAAGTTTTTTTTTTTTGTTGATTAAAATGCAGGTTGACCAATCGTTACCAATTTTTAAACAGTGAAACAATTTTCATAGAAAAAAGACAAAGTCAATTTGGTAATTGTAATACCACCTTTTTAACCAATAAACAAGCAGATTTATCGTTAACTAAAAATATTTCCTATTAAGAAATTAATATTATCTATTTATTTTTATTGTGTTGTTGATTTTTCGAATTTCAAGTAATTTAAGTTATTTGTAACCCATAAAAAAAGAAATGCTAATAAATATGCGGTTTGGCAATAATAGTTATCTAGATTAGTGTTCTATTACCGGAAAATAGTATGACTTTCCTAGATATATACTAAATGTAAAGAGCATCAGAGTAATGAAAAAAAATGCACTATCGTAGAATCAGATAAAATAATTAAAATCGAAATGAATGAATTATCAAGTTGCAGCGACCTAGTCCCTTTGTGAATATTGTAAATCAATTTCACGCACTTAAATTAAAGGCAAATTAACTTTCTATTTGTGAAAAAGCTGGAAAGTATTTTTACCTGCGAATAGGAGATATTTAAGATTAAACACTGTACAAATATTGTATAAATATATACTATATAAATACTGTATAAATACTGTATAAATACTGTATAAATACTGTATAAATACTGTATAAATAAACAAATAATTTATCATTTGGACAATTGATGTTAATATGGTACAAAATCAGATGATTAGTCACTAACTATATCTTATCTATATTATTCCCTTAACTAGGTTGATTTGCAACCGATTCATAGTCTACAATGTGCATATTTATTTATTTTTATTATGTAAAACTTTGATCTTTCTTTATAGTAATATTTTCTATCGTTCAAAATTTCCAAATTTTCCTTTTACATATTAAAATTTGTAATAATTTTTATATTAAAAGTTCTTTAAGAAAAATTTCATCGAATCTGATAAATTTGATTCTACAATACTGCAATAGATTAACTTGTTCTTTATCGTATCAAATCTATTTTAATGACCAAAAAAGTTTTGAGATTTACGTACGTACTAGAAATACTTTATTAAGAACTTCTTTTTCTTACTGGTATTATTTCTGAAATCTTGAGGATCCAACTAAACTCCGTAAATATAGGCGCAATGTTTGGTAATAGTCGTACGGTTTAATATCAATTTATTAACAAATACTTAATTAACTTTTCTAAAATTAACTGGCGGTAAATTATTGAAACAATAAATTTATATATATTTTTTTCAACCAATTGTTTTTGTGATTTTTTTTTTATTTTGTTAAATTATTTACACTAATGAATTTAAATAGGTTGAATTTTTCTTCTCTTCATTCAACATTTCCCGCTTAAAAATTTTCCGTTATATTTTTATTTTGCGCTTATTTTAGTTGTACTACCAATCCGGAAATATTTTATATATAGCTTCATATACGAAATATTAATTTCCTCACACGACACGTACAAAACATAGTTGAATGATTTTAATTTATTAATCTAACTTAAATGGGAAACACTGAATCTCGTAACGAAAATGTTAAAACTTTTCGAAGAAAACCAAGTTTTTCTCGAATCAGTTCTTCTCATGTAAAAACTAATAGTATTTCACCAGATTGTAATGATAGTACTAATAATTGCAATATTAAAACTGTATCAAATTTAAAATTTCTTGGCGGTCGTCCTTATTTAGACGAAGAGGTTTCTATATATCTTGTAAGTTATTAATTAAATCATTAATTAATTTGGTTTGATTTTTTTTTCAAATTTATAAAATTTATAGTAATTTGTTTCTGTTAAAAAAAGTTTCCTGCTGACTGGGAAGAAGCTGATAGAGTTCAAACTTGTCATTTCGCGTTAAAACATTTGCTTGGTGGCAATTACTCTGCACCACTTTCTGACATTATTAAGCCAGAAAGTAAAATTTTAGTATGTACAGTATTAAAATTTTATTATTCATTATGAATAAATTTTAAAATTTTATTATTTTTTATTTTTAGGACATTGGATGCGGTTCTGGTCATTGGTGGTAAATTTTTATATTAAAAAAATCTTATTACTATAATGAATATCATCATTAAACACTTACTATATGTCTGTTATATTAACTAGCTTTGAAATTGCACAAGAATTTCCTGACGCAGATGTTTATGGCATAGATATAATATCATCATTTCCTAGTGAAATAAAACCATCTAACTGCTACTTTCAAGAATGTAATATATCAAATGGATTACCTTTCGATAATAATGTATTTGATTATATTTTTATGAGACATATGTTTTTAGCACTAAGAAATCATCAGTGGGTACCACTGTTGAATGAAATAATGAGAATATTGAAACCTGGTGGTGTTATTGAGTTTGTGGATTTTGATTTAATTCGTAAGTATTAAATCTGCCTACGAATAAATTTAAATAAAGCTGATGGCATAAATTATAATGAAATTTTTTATTGTAATTAATTAGCACGTTCAATTGGCCCGGTTTATGCTAAATTAGTAAAACAATGTTGTATGTATCGAATCTTTTTTAACATTTTATAAATTTTATTTAACATTTTAATAAGCTTTAAAACTTTCATACACTCATATTTAATTTTAGATGAATCATTATACAAAAAAAAGCAAATCGATCTCCTATTTCTTCCAAAATTAGAACAAATTATCAAAGATGTAGGATTTCAAAATGTAAATTGCATTCATAAGAATGTATCTCTCGGAAAGTAAGTTTTAAAAAAGTTTTTTTTTTAATATTTTTTTTTCAATTTACCGGTACTTAAATTTATCTAATCAATTATATATTAAAAGATGGGATAAAAATATTGGCAAAATTGGTGAAATATGGACTTCAAACATGCTTCAAATGAACAAATCATTAATTACATCACTTGTAAATATCTCAGATGAAGAGTTGGATCGCGTATTAAACGTAATATATTTCGAAGAAGTAGATAATTATCATTCATATCAGGATCATTATATTATTTTAGCTACTAAAAGTGTGAGCGAAGCAAGTAATTAGTGAATCAATGTGAAGCGAAGTTAAAATAAATGCATATAAGTTACAGTATATTGATATTGGGGAAATAATATGTATGGTTATAAATTTGGGGTTTTGGAATTTCTCATTAATTAGCATATACTACAAAGTTAGTATAATTTGTTGCTTATTTACATATTATTTTTTGCATTATTAAGATGTAAAATGTAAAAATAATTTAGGCTTCAATAAAATTATGAAAAATATTATGATTAGAAAAAATTTCCATAATTTTTTTTATCGATCGTCTGTAAAATAATTTTAATGATCTTGAAATTTTTATTAATATTCAAAATAATTATAGTAATTCCGTTTTCGTATCTGATTAGAGTAGAACAGTACTATCTGTTAAGGCTAGCCAATCGGCTAATTTCAAAAATATAACTAATTTATGTTGTCAAACCAATTCGTACAAAGCGGTATGCATATTAACGCAAGTACGATGACCCTGATACGCATAAGAAAAAAAATATCATACTTGTGAAAAACTTTATATATATTATTTAATTCACGCAGCTCAAAATAACAAGTGAAACTATTAAACATAAAAATTATTCTATTGCATTGTTTCACGATAGTTTCAATTTTGTATTGCGACACAATGCAATATATTATTAACTTTAATTGGAGTTACGTTGTACATTGTCCTCCTAACATGTTATAGCTTATGCGAAATTTGCTAGACTTTGAAAATATGTATAGCAATTTCGACCAAATGGGCGGGGGACCGTGTCACAAGGAATGTCAGGAATATCAGATAGAATGAGTGACAAGATAAATCGATATAAAAGGAAATATGGTTCTGCACGGATAAAAAATTAAGCATACTTCCACGGGCATACACCTACGTACGTAAGTCATGCCTAAAGGGCATGCCCGTGCCCCTGTGCTTCGAATCCTAATCGGATCCGGTGCGTACGTACGTGCTAAGTACAATTTCATTTAACTTTCTCACCCTTATCTTATTAGAATCAAAATCTTTGCTAATTATGTAATAACTTACAAGCTAGTGGTTTAGTTCAATTTTATGGCAATCAAGTATGCTTTAAAAAGAACTATAATGAAAAACTATTTCAAATTGTCCAATTAAAATCTATCTCATTAGTAAAAGATCGACGCATATGCACCAATCAGATCTGCACACATCCTAATAAATTTAACTGATTGGGTAAATTTTGTAGATAAAACACGTGAAATTCATTAAATAAATTCTCGCCTATCTTTACATTATCTTATGCAGAAATACAAATTTTATTATACGTAAAACAGGAAAGGTTTAAATACATATATAGTATTCACTATGGAATCCGGATATACGTAATGCATTACTTAATGACTAAATTATGCAATCCTGATCCTACTTACATAATTATTAGATAATTACACGTATGTAAAAAAAGAAATTTACTAACGAAATTGAGTTAACTGTTGATCTCATTAATAATTAGTCGTTCATCTCTAAGTTAACCTAGAATTGTTAAGTTATAGATTCGTGCAACTTTTTGTATATCAACTTCATTTTCAGTAGGTCGAATTTGTTGGCAACGCTTGCATCGTAAGAGCTGCATTAACTAATTCGGGATTCACTTCCAAAGCTTCATCTTGAAATTTACACACTAATGAAGAAACGCAAAGAAACAATTGTCTCTATTAACCTTAGCATTATTATTCTCACTAGTTCTATAGGTATCAACAACATAGTCAACTCGGCTTTAACTCTGAAATATATTATGTTGGGTAGTACTGAAATATAACAAATAGTTGAGTAAATTGTTATAGTTGCCACGAACTGCGTGTAGGATTATAGCAAGGTGTTCTGTGATTGCTTTTTGTTTCTTTCAAGGGAAAGATGAAAGGCAATTTTCATATAGTATTGATAGTTTTTTATTCAATCCTAACAAAGATTAATTGCTCTGAGAAATTTTTTAATATCTTAAAATGAAGAGTTATTTATTTGATAAATGACCGTTACAATATTTCAAATACTAAAATATTTTAGTATTGTGTTATTTCTAGAAAAGTAATCGGTTTCGGATTAATACTGTAATGAATGATTTTTTATAACGTTATTGATCATCTAACTAAATTAATATCGTGATTGTTAAAGTCTCCGCATGGGGCAGTGTGTATATATAACACGATATCGTGAATGATGTTATAAAGCAGGTTCCAAAACGTGTCTCTTTCATACTGATCAAAATGTATAAAAAGTTTAACAAGAACTTCGTTTCCATCATAAGGTAACATAGTCATAATTAGTGCTCGGTACAGTCAAACAAAAATTTGACATCAAATACTTGTTAATATTTATGTTTAAATCACGATTGCAGATTAACCAATGCTAAATATATACTATTGGTTAATCTGCAATCATTTGATGTCCGAGTTAATCACAAGTATTAACAAGTATTTGACTATCAAATTTTTGTTTGATTGTGCCGAGCACTAGTCATAATTATTTTCCTTCGTTAAGTTTTAAACCATCATTAAGTCGCCCTTATAGAATTATTATACACTTAATTATCAATCCACATAACTTATAGTAGCGGTTGGAGCTACACTGCGCATCCATTATACGTCGCTCTCCCATTCAACCATTACTGCATTACAATACGAAGATATTTTATGTAATCTTTAGAAAAGTAAAGTTATCCCTGCTTTCGAATTAGTACGACAAATGAATTTGTGAACTATATGGACCCTGCATTGTGAAAAACAATAATACATTCAACCCTCTATAAATGCACTGCGTACAGACCACAAAAAATCTTCATTTAGAAAGGTATTGCATTTAGGGAGGTAAAAATCTATAAGTGTATATATAATATAACCATAGCAAGACCATGCATTTAGAGAGGTATTGCATTTATGGAGGTTGCATTTAGGGAGGTCTGACTGTAATATGAGGGTTCATAGAGTTCATAAAATTCATTTTTCACACTAATTCGAAAAACAACGATAAACTACACCACTTTAATGATAAATTGATCATTTTCAATAACAACATACGGTTTATTTTTGAATAAATTACAGTTTAATGCTGTATTGATGCAGGAAGCTTAAAACATCATTCTCTTAATTTAACTAATACGCTGCAAGAAGTCGGCATAATTTCTTTGTTTAAAAATAAGCCACCTATTTATGTAAACTACTCGAAATGCTTGTCGTTGTAAATCTTTATAATTGGACGAAATAAACTTGTACAGGTCAAAAAAAAAAAAATTTTTTTAAGGGGTAGTCTGCAGTTGAAGTGTATAAATTTCATAGTGTTAGCAGCAAAACCGCCAAAATTCGCTGCGCCGAATTCGACGTCACGAGGCCTGAAAACGTGACAATAACCCCGAATCGACGCTCCCACGAAATCGCGAAGTCGTGAGGAAATTATTCCAACAAAGCCCCAGGATCACGGTAAAGAAGTTGAGGCGCAATCAGCAAATTCGTGGCAAGACCATCTGTTTGTAAACAGAGAACCAAATAAAGCCAAAAGTGGCATGCTTGTCGGGCTTAGATTAGGAAAAGTTCAACTTTTTATCTTTCCCGCATGTAAAATTGTTATAAATATGGGCTCTTTTTGCCCTTAATAAAGAGCTGCGAATGTTTGTATAAAGGTCGTTCGTTTTAGTCCCACTTTATACTTGATACGCCTTATCTTGCCAAATTAAATCGTCTCTAACCATTGGGCATATTGCTGGGCTGGTTGTGTTGTTTTGGTGGTGAATTGGTAGTTCGTATTTTGCCTCCGACAATATTCTCTAAGTGCACCCTCTATAAGTGCACTCACTCTCTAAATGCTTGCTCATGTGCCGGCCCAAATATAAAATGTATTGTAATGAGAAACAATATAGAATAGTAAAATGAATTAAATTGTGATACGTTGGGGTTCCAATGTACTATGTAGATCAAATATATAAGTAGTCTCATAAAAAATAACTAGCACGATTTTTTATGTAACATTTATGACGATTAATATTAAATATTAAAATTTCGACAAATTTTTATTAATTTTTTGATAGATTTTTTAATTTTCTAAAAAATAACGCTCCATTTTCCTTAAATTTGAAGTCTAACAAGTATTTGGGTGAAATTTCTAGTCAAGTTCATATGTAAAATTTTGAGGAGATACGATTTGAAATTTATTTTTTTATAATCTTTTCATAAGAAAATACTAAATTTTAAATCGTATCTCCTCAAAATTTTACATATGAACTTGACTAGAAATTTCACCCAAATACTTGTTATACTCAAATTTAAGGAAAATGAAGCGTTTTTTTTTAAAAAAAAATTTATTAAAAATTATTTAATCTAAGATCTTCAATTTATTGAATGATTTTCACGTGGTTACACGAACGATATTTACTTAATGACCTTTGCGTTTATGCAATTTTTTTTATAACAACTTTTTTTTAATTTGTATAGCAAAAATGGTATCTTTTCCGAATGTTTTTTTCTTATCTAATTTTTACTATGTCGCTATTAAGTAATATTCCTACCCGAATGTCTAGAAAGGATCGATGCGAATGATAGTTTAATATCAGATATAGAACAATAATTCATAAACCTTATTAAATTGATAGTGTCACTTGTTATAATTTGCTTTTTGTTCTTATAATAAATAAAATTATTCTTTAACATTTTAAATAAAATCATCATGCATTAATCCTTGCGATATTTGTTAAATTGGCATGGTGTTTATTAATGCCTCTATTGTACATTTAACTGGTTGGTAATAAACAAAGCCAATCGATGCTTTATTAAGGGATCATATTTGTTTTTATAGGAATTATTCTCGGAAAAATGAGATAAAAACAAAATTATTTCACTACACCAAAAATAGTAAGTTATTTGGGCGGAACTTAATTGCTACACTCAAATAGTAAACAGTAAAAAACTGATTTGATGGGAATCATCGAAAGCTAGTGCTAATGTCTGGACTTGTACGTTTTTGGGAATTTTTTATTGTTCAAT